TTTGAATACCCTGCAATGTGTTCACTTTGGCTTAAGTCTTATCTTACTGTGTAGCATTTAAAAAAAAAAAGTATATTTACTTTGTATAAGGAAATCGTATTCAATTTATTGCTTTTTTTCCCTTGCATTTTGGCTCCAGTTCAAAATCCATAAGCAGAAAGCTGTCTTGTAAAAAGCAATTTCCTAGTGAAAAGGATGAACGAATGAGTCTAAAGCAGTTCTCAATTGCATGCACAGGAAAACAGATTTGGAGGCTGTTACATAACCAAGAAAATAGTGTGAAGAAGCGGTCTGGATTTATACGGATTCTAAAGGCAGTAATGARGATGAAGTTGTCCTTACATGGGAATGCTGCCTTTCTTTTTTGTCTGTCTATCAATCCATAACATATATAGGTCAAAAGATTTCAAGTAAGTGTGTTATGGTCTGCATGTGGTCTGTTGCAGAATCCCTCAGCTTTTCCTAGTTCTGTGAACATAAGGTGTAACAGAATGGCTTAGTGCTTTCTTGAGAACATCTTTATTTGCATTAAAAAAACAGATTTCTAGTCACAATTCAGTATGCTGACTCTGGAAAAAAATGGCTTTCTATTGTGGTTATTCTGTAATTCTTGTAACTGGGAAGAGCTTTTCTAGGTGTCTAATTTCAAATCACAAATGAGAACATGCATTTTTTTTGTATTATCCTGTGCGTTAATTGCTTAGTTTTTATCACAGGAGAACTGTTGAAAGCAATAGATGCTCTTTTAATTTTATGGTTGATCATTGCAGGGATTATCCTGATAGAAGGACACCAAATGGAAAGGAGGCAGTTGCCATAGGAAGGGCTAAGAGAAGGCAGTGACTCTTTAAAGAGAGTATATGATGAGTRTTAAAGGAACAGAAACTTAATTTGCAGAAGTAAGGTAATGAGAGGAATATCTTGCATATCCTTTATTTCCATTTATACTACATGGCCTTAGTGGCTTGCTTGGCTTAGCATCACAGACATGAACTGTCTACGCGAGGATGGTTTCCTCAGGGACTGAACAGCATCCCACATAAATGGCAATATCAAATGAAAATCTGCCAATAAAGCTTAAAGTTGAAAGTGGTAAAGCAGTAGTTCACCATAGTTGTTTTCCTAGGGCATTTCTCTAGGGATCATTTTTTAACCCGAGCTGATGTGTTTAGTAATGACCTGGAAGAGCATCATTGCGCTGGGATGCAGAGGTCRTGAGGACTGAATCCCTGACTAGGCAGAGGGCAGGGCAGCTGGAAGCATTTTAGGACACAGCTTGGAAACTCTTCCTGGGAAACAGCCTCTTGAATCAGGATTACTACAAGAGGTGGCTATTTTTAAAAGATAATCACTGTCCATGAAAGAATKATAGCCTGAAGGGACAAGATGAGGAATTTTTCAAGATCTATAGGAAATGAACCATCATCACTGGCAACTGTTGTACCAGGATTCAGTGTTTACCAGGATTCGGATATTCACTATTTGATCTGTGCCATATTGAAGTCCTGTGGTGTGTGCTTCATTGGAGAACATATTTAGATAATCCCGTTTCATTGTCTGCCSCTTTCTCACACRTCTGAGCTAGGAGAACAGAGCTAGCAGGAGCRCAGGGTTCCCCGGGCACTTCCTAGYTCCYGGGCCTCCACTCRTTAAACGTGCRAGGGTAAAARAATATAAGTACCATTATGGTATTAACAGAGAAGTCTTCCAAGGAATGACTCGTTCCATTGTTAAACTTGTTATTTCACAAACTCTCTCATAAATCCATTTAACTTGTGGAGTGCRATGAAAATGAAAAATCCCAGCACCTTATGCTTATTCAGGATGTGTTTCTTGGCGAGCCTAGGAGCCAATTCCCATTTAATGGGAATAACRTCGCTTGTTTCACAAAGGCAAAGGCAGCTAAAGGGGATGTAAAAGAAAACGAGGGACCATATTCTTTGGTGATAGGCGGTTGCAGAGAAATAGGTTGTGGTTTTGCAGCCTGTTTTCTCCCCTTGTTATTATGACTGGTTTGTGTTGCTTTCATGAGCAGGACTGTAGGGATGTGTGCTCATATAACATGTTGGTTGCTGTGGTGTTCCCCCCCGCCCTGTAAAAATATAAAATGAAGCCATAGCTCATTCAATTCAGTTCCTCCTTTTGTGTAAGAAGGGAAGTAGGGAAGTACAGGTACATTTCCAGCTTACTCACATACAAGTCTCCTATGAGAAATGGAATAGCCTCAGTGTTGGTGAAGATAAAATCAGACCTGGGCACCTGCAGTTGCTGAAGTAACGTGTTGCTGCCAGCTGTCTTGGGGCCCCTGGTGGAGCAGGCAGCAAGAGGGAAGTTTCTATTGGGAGGCTGCACTATCCAGGCGGAGGAAGGAAGGTTACCGTCTTGATTTTTGAAACCTGCTATATCTAGCACTCTTGGAAATCTAGCTTCATATTGTRGAAACATGCTTTGAATTTAAACTGAGAGTCCTGAAACCTATTGCAGCAAACTCTTGCTTTACAGAGGTTGGCTACAATTAAGAAATCAGACTTRTTACGTTTGTTTGGTTTGTTAACCCCTCTTCCCCCATGCGCTTCGCCGTGATGTTCRAATGATATTTGCGGCCACGTGCAGCGGTCTCAGCTCTGCAGAGCCTGGACAAACCAGAGGCCTTCACCYGCTTCCCGGCAGGATTGGATACCTTGCCTGGCTCAGCACAGATGCTTGGCAGCTGTTTACCCTGCCCGATAGCTTTGAGAGGGGCCGTGGTAACATATGTTTGTAGCAGTAGGCTCTTTCAGTGTCCTGGTCATATGGATTTCCCAGCTGTGCTGGGGTTATGTTTCATTTTTTGCAATGTGCTTGCGTGCCTTTTGGTTGTGTTTGATGCCGGTGGGAAAAGCAGCCAGCGTTCCTGGAGGCTGCTTTTGGAGCTCCRCAGTGATGAGCTCCTCCTCTGGGTAAAGTTAGGAAAGCTTCCTAATTTCCTTGTATCTTGAAATCATGTGTAGGAGGGCTTTCTTTCCCYTCCTGCAAATCATTTCCCCTCTGTTTTAATGTCTTGGATTGTTTTTTCTTCCTTCTCCCGTGTGCTTCGGCAATGCTTTTTTGCCAAGAGATACCCAATGGGGAAATCAAGCAAGAGCAAAAATGCAGTTCTGCAAAGGGAAAGTTTGCTCTGTGACTTCTTTGCTCTGTAAATATTTTATGCCCTCAGCATCTGTATTTTAGCTCCATTAATTTTTTTATTAAATTTATACCTTGCAGTCTCCTAAGGGTCTTTRCAGAGTAGATGTATTTATGATGTTTATAGCGTGTATTAGCCTTTATTTGTGCTGAATGCCAGAATGACCAAGTGCACCGTGTGGTTTCCTGAGCAGAATTAGCATATGCAACAAAAATGTAATGTCTTGTACCCGTTGCATATTGTAAATACAATACTTAGCCTCAATCACCAATTCATATCGTTGTTCAGTAATGGCTAGTGAATAATTCATTATATAATATGTTAAATGCATGCTGTTAGAAATCTATGTCTYGGTGGTTTCTAAAGTGGATCAAGAAGCGTATTTATGGATAAGAATGACTATTTAATGATAGCTGTGTATTAACCCGTTTTTGCAGGTGTTAAGACATATTTGACTTGCCTGAGAAGCTCCAGAGATTTTGGGAAAGAGCCTAAAATGGGAATGAAATGGGATGAGCAGTGGTAAAATGATCATCTGAAAGGRTAGTTGGTATTTTTTTGAATGGAAATAATTATTGCTGTCTACTCAGAGCAGGCAACCAGTCACACTGACAAAATGTACTCAAATAGTGCATGCTGCTCTGCAAACAGCAGGAAGCCTTGCGAGAAGGAAATCAGGTCAAGAGGAAACACAAGTTCCTGTCAGTGTTTTCCAAAGCTGATTAAAAGTTTCCTCATTGACCATGGCAGCAATTTGGTGCCCTCACCTAGTTCTCCTGTGGCCCACGTGTGTGGTATGAGGTGGGGAGGGGGGACCCTTCTATTGAGGTTATCATAATGTATGTCAGGGTGAAAGTTATAGCATGGGTAGTGTAAAAGTATTCGGCTTCTGGAGACAAGACAGGCAAAAATCCACCTAGAGCTAAGTTAGACACTTTAAATAAGTGCCTCAGAAAACGCTTGACTTCTGTCATGTCTTCTTTAATGATACATGACATTTTTTGGAAAATGCTGAGAAACAGCCTCGCAGCAAATAGGGATGAAAACATGAACGCTGAATAAAACAGCACATTCRTTTTAGTCAGTAGGAACATTTTGAGAGGATCTAGTCACTTAGTCAATGTGCATAACTCTGTTTTGATGCTCATATCCACTGAGAAGCTCATAAGACAAATCAATCTTGCAGAGTAAAGATGATATATTATTTTTAACTTTCTAAACATACCTTTCTGTGCCTTCTTTATTTTCTGATTTTTGTTTGATGCTCTAAGTTATTTATTAGTGTTATCTTTACACATGCTAATTGTTAATTTAGAGGTGGCTGATGTCCTTATGCTTTTTGTGTTTGACGTCCCGTGCAAGCACGGTGGGAATACTCCAAGTACTGTGTGAGGAGATATAATTGGTAACTTGCTAACCACCCAGATTTTTTGAGATAGATTTTGGAAACATGGACTCTATGATATTATGGTGCGACAAACTCGACTGGGAATATTTTAAATGATGTTTTTAAATGCTACAAAGTCAACGCCAAAATTATCATCCCCCCAAACTATTTTTTCATGTAATAAACAGTCTGATGTTTCAAATGTTCTCGTTGTTGCCACTGAGTTAACCAGTGCTTGCATCTCTATATACACACAAGCCTAAAATGCAATGCTTGTGTGTCCATGAAGTAAAATTAGAAAGAACTAATAGGTTCACCAATTCCATTTTTTTTTTTTTTTTTTTTTGATTTAGAGGGTTACTTATGAAGTGGGTAGAAATGCCCCTCATTCCTCTCTCCAGTTGCAGAGCTTCATATTCTTTTGTTTCTTTGTTTGTTTTCTTCCAGGCATGAATACAAGCAAGAGTGAGACRGTGAAAGAGCACCCGTTAAAGCCTTCTCGAAGATCGATGCCATGCCTAGCGCAGAGCCAGACGCACCCTCAGAGCCTCACCAAACATTCCTCCTTCCTGCAGCCCAACCGGGTGCAGCCCCAGCCGCTCAGCGCGGGGACGTCCACGGCCACGGTGGACGTGGTGTCGGAGCGAGGTAAGAGCTGGTTGCTTCTCCTTTGGGGGCTTCTTTTCTTCCACCTGGAAACCAAACAAAGTGCTCACATATCCTGGAGATCAGTATGAAGGTTCCTGCACTCTGTCCGGTCTGTCCCAGAGCCGAGAGAAGACATAAACACTGGCAGTTCTGCAGTAGATACTTTTAAGTCTGAAGTGTAGGAGCAGACTTCTCTTTGAGGATTTATTTGTATACGTATGTATATTTCTTTTCTAAATATGTATGTATGCTATAAAGTATATTGTTTTTATTTCAGCTAAGGTGATGGAGACGTTGGAAAACAACTTGCTCAAACTGTCTAATACAGAATACAGTGATCCATTTTTAGGTAAGTTGATGCYGGAACTGAAATAGTAATAAATGAATGATACTTCCATTGCACCTGCAGTGTTTGACAGATGGAAACCTTGGCTTATCTGAACTTTTGAGGTTTTTGCAAGAGGAGACTGTGGCTAGAGGAATAGATGCTCTTGTACATGGCTTAAAAGGGAAATTTCATAAAGGTTTCTAATAGCTTGTCACCCTTGAAAACTTGCAACAAATAGGGGCTATGTAAAGAAGTAGCTTCAATTTACTATTGACAGTTTTCTAGTTTTTTCTTCATTAAGAATTGCCATAGATTTTCTTGAAAGCTTTAGTTTTTCTAAATTTGGCATATAGATGTTCTAGTTATTTKTCTAGAAGCCTTTCAAGTCCATCTAAGTCTTGTGATATTTCCATGGCAGCCCTTCATTAYATTACTGCTCAGAAGTGTGTAGTTAAAATTGCTTTTAGTTCAGAAGTGTCATGTCTATAGATGTTGTTTAGGAGAAAGGCAGTGTTACTTTTGCTTTAGATCATATAAAAATATAGTTCTGAAAGAAAAAAAAAAAAAAAAACAAAACCAAAAGAACAAAACAGCTACAAAAAAAGAAAAACTGTTATGGGAATTGTGATATTTTCTGATACTTATGGTGTGTCACAATACTTGTGAATATCAGAATCAAAGAAATGAGGAAAGAAGTCRTTCTTACAATAGTGTTGTTGTTGCAGCTGCCAAGTGAGCCTGTATATATATGAGGGTAGTAATATGCATGTTTAAAAATGAATTTTGGGWTTCTCTGTACTTGTGTTTATTAGCCTGAAGCACCTACAGGTTTTGGTCTACCTTGAACAGCTATCAGGAGAACTCCTCTCGCTCACAAATTGTCTGTTGTCCAACTACCAGTGGCATCCTCGTGCTCCTGAAGGAGACAAGTCTGCTCTGTGGAAGTTGTTTATGCTGACCTCCCAAAGGGTTTAGAATGGATTTTTCTTGCTGCCTAAAATATATGACAGAAAGGGGCTCTTCAGGTCACCTAAAGAAGTGGCTACTGGGAATCCAATTCAACCTGTTCTTTTGACTTATTTAGATTGCAAAAGGTGGAGGAGTCGACACAACCTAATTGCCTGGTCTGAGGCAGAAATAAAGAGGGGCAAGCAGAGGTCGCGAGCAAGGCAGGCAGGTTGCTTGACCCACACCAGCCTTGAAAAGACTTAGGTAACACATCTTCAGTATAACAATACATGTGATGTGGCCAAATAGCAGGAACAAAAAACCATCTTTTCAACAGATGGAGTTAATGAGGTTTCCCTAGTGTYTTAGACTTGCACCTGCCTGTATTAATGGGAAATTTCAGTGTTAATCTGCCTGTGTTAATTGAATAAATCCTAGCTTAAATTAGTGAAGTCAGTGARGTTATTCAGTATTTGCTGAAGTACATTACTGAAGTGAATCAGTATTTATTGTTCTAGGATGTTCAACTAAAAGCAAGCAAGACAGCAGTATTTATTTTTTAAGAAAATGCAAGAAATCAAAAGTAAAAATATTTTCAGATAGGAATCGGCATTATTAAGCTCAAGAGAATTCAGAGGAAGGTGAAAAGCTTGCAGTTCTGTAATCTTGGAAATATAGGTTGTATGTGTATGGGGGTCCTGTCTTTGCAGCTAAGGGTTAATCGAAGATTGAAGGTTTTAAAAGTTTTATTTTTCTCCCCCAAAGCAGGAAGTGTTATTGCTACTTGAACTTTACTCACCAACAAGTGGGAATGATGCAGCACTGCTCCCTGCTCTGTCCACTTTGGCACTTTGATGGAGTTTGCAAAATAGGCTGATTAATGGCTCTCATCTTAGGGAGCTGCTTCAAACTGCTCTCTGGAGAACATTAAAGAAGGCTGAATTAAGCAAATGTGGTAAATTTTTAATTAGGCASCAGCATAGAGGCATCCACAAAGTAGGCCAAATGGCTTTCTGCTCTTTCGGAACTGGAGATGTCCATGGACTGACCTGTCTCCTCATRAGAGGGGGATTAGTGGGCATCAGATCAAGACTCAGTTTCAGCAACTCTCTTTTCCGCTGGCTGTAGTTGAGGCCATAAATGTATTGGGCTTAAGGACATGGCATTTTCTTCAAAGTTTGTCCAGATAAAGGGAATGAACCCTCACTTCTAGTGGCTGCAGCTTATCTCACATTTTTTTTCTAAAAGGAATAGGGATGAAAACAATTTTGATGAATGAGAAAAGGTTTATCTATCCATACTAGAATCACATTTCTAGTTAAAAAAACATTATCTTCTTTGGCTTCTGTAATAACTATAAGATAATAATTATTAAACTTGTTTCCATTTGGAGTATACTTTATACATCAATTGAATGAGTGTACAGCAAGTTATCTGTTATTTATTTTTAAATTTAAAACTAAGTATGCTTAAGTTGAAGTCAATTTATGTGGTTTGCAGGAAAATTTGGTTACTTCAGTAATCCATTTTSTTAGCAAGAAGCACTTATTTCTTGTTGTAACTGAGGTCAGCAGTCTCCTGTGTGCAGCTATTCCGCTGTGTGGGCTGGTCTCTCCTCAAACCATCCCTTGGGTTTAGGACCTTCCTTGGGTAGGAATAGGAGGACACTGATAGTAAATGGACAAATATGCAAGATATTTGTGCATCTGCTAGGTAATATTCTGCAGTTTGAATTACTATCTTTAATGAGAGTTTGATTTCCTGCTTTTATATTGACTTTCAAGGACTGTGGGCCACATTTGTAAAGTGATTTCTTGTGAAGATATAGATTGATGTCCTTGAAAATCCCGTTTGRCACATGTTTAGCTAGGATATCAAGCTTTCTAGAAGGTAGGCCATTTTGAATGGCAGGAGAAAGGATGAATGCCCAGTGTTACCTAAAGGTCCTAACTGCTACTTTTAACAAAAAGAAAAGAGATAGACAACGTGTACAGTCTGCATGATGTGAGAAGTGACGGCAAAGGCTGGCTCTCCACAGTATGAAAGTGCGTTAAACTAAGGCAGGCTGAAATGTCAAAATAAATAAGGAATGTRAAAAATAAGGGGCAAATATAAACAAGGTTAATTGGCATTTGGAATTTAGATATAAGGAACATGTAACTTTAAGTTATTTGGCAGTTTTTGTCAGCAGCCCTTTTAGCAAAGGAAACAGTACTATTACCTTGTTCCTTTTCAGCTCTGGCTGAATTAGGTCAATTGTGAAGATGTTAGACCTCATAACTGGTGTGTTCCTTGGTGGAACATTAGATCCTTGATTGGAGCTTGATAATGAATGATTCAGTTCCCAATTTCAGCATAATGGTGAAATTACAGCCTCCCATTCTGAAYACCTTCCTTACCAGTGGTTCTGAAKTTTGTGCATTAACACCCCCCCMCTACACACACACTATTTTACATGTTATGCAGCAATGTAGTGACCTGGCAAGTGAGAAACAGTGTCYAAACCAGCAGTGTAGCCAAGTGTTGTGTTAACTGTATGCCAAATTACTTGCTAGGGGTTAAATGCAGTTTCTAACTGAAGTTTGGTTTGAGCTGCCTGTATCCATTTTGCAGACCATCTTAACTCCTCCAAACGGCAATAATACCAATTAAAAAATTTGTTTTTTAAAAAAGGAATATTCATAAAACATTCTCTGTAATGGCTACCACTGTGCAAAACCCCTTGAGAAGCTGCACACTAAGAAAAAACAGCCATTAAAGAATAGCACTTATAAGTTTAAGAAACCTACCTTGTTAATTTTACTTTTTGTTACATATTTGTGAGTATTATGCTTACATTTCAGCTAAGACAGCTGGTATCTAAAAGGAAAGCAGTGTTTTAACAGAAAATACATGCTACAGTTTAAGCTTGTGCTCTTAAAAATGTAAAAACGTTTAATCATTAGAAGAACCACTATATTCAGTAAAAAATGAAAACTCATTTCTTCTCTAAATTATTTAAGCTTAAGGACTTCCGCAAAGTTTTTTGGAGTATTAGATGTGCTCATCATGTCTAACTTGGCCAAACTTCCCCCTAAACGTAGACTCGACTTCTATCAGCCCCCCATTTGAACTCAGGGAGCCAATCTAGATGCAAGAGCTGACGTTTCATTTGCTTCTCTCTTTTTATGTCCATGGCTTCTATTCCCAGGTGCTGATCTTCACTAAATCTAACAGCTCCTCACATTAGGAAGGGAGTCAGATCCACACAGTGACTTAAGCCTTCTCTYTCCTACTTGATATACCTTCTATCGCAGACATTCTTCATGGTCTTTTTCCTGCATTCCTTCTTATTGACTGTAAATTAGATTTAAAAAACTGTATTAGATTAAAACATTGCTTATTTTGAACAAAATCCCTGAGGCAAGATCTCTATCAAAATGAGTTATTTCAGACATTAAAAAGTCCCTTCTCTGATTTATTGAGGTTTATATCAACTCCAAAATTTAGTGAGGACTCAGTTTTGTAATTGCTATGCAAGTGGCTAAAGAGATGAAAAAACAAATCTCCATAAATGTTGCAGTTTAATATTCCAGGTCAGTAATGTATGGGCTACATGAAATAATTGTAGTTATTTTTTTTCTGTAATGTTTTCCATGTAGAATTAGTTGTTGAGCTTAATGAAAAATACTGTGTTATTGCATATGAGTCTGTAGGAATATAAAAAAGAGGAGATTGAAGATTGTAGTTCCCACAGCAACCATGACTTATTTCTTGGCTTCTGTTTTAGGCTTAGGATTACTGGGCTAAATGCTGTTCCCAGTGACACTGATTTTTCCCACGTTCACGTCAAAACTGAGAAGAGAACTTGGCTCAGGAGCTGTGGGGAAGTTTTATGCATGTGTTTGTATTTACAGTTTTCCAAGATATAACTGTATGGGAATAATTATTATTTTTCATCTTCAAAATGATTTTTTTCACCCAAAACTAACTGCATTAAAAAGTGTCTGTAATAATCAGGCATTTACATTGATTAAGTTTATTAAATTCATTATGTTCCCAGGATGTTCCTATCTGTTTTTCAGTCTCAGAAGTCGTTACTTTCAAAAAAAAAAAAAAAAAAAAAATCAAAAGTTAAGTTCAAAAGCCTTTGAATACTTGCTTTATGTCACTTTGTGGGTTTTTGTTCTGTTTCTTTAACTGCTGTGAAGAACTTTGTGGGCTTTTGTCATGTGGGTAGTGTTGGAAAGAAATGTCTGTAGGCTTTCTACCCCAAACAGTTGCTTCTAGTTTGAGACTAGCATAGTATTAGTTCAAATAAGCCGCTTTTGCAGGACAGAGTAAAATACAAGTCACTGAAAAGTGAATACATAAAAAGAATATTCTGCAGTGTCATTATCCTATGTGTGTAATAACCTAAAATGAGCCCATTGATTTGCTCTGATTTTTTCCAGAGGCAGGAAAGGCCAAAGAAACGTACACAGAAGACTCGGAACATGGGAATTACGACACCCGCACAGATCAGTCCCTGCTCATTCAAAGCAGACTCGCCCGGCAGAAAACAGAACCTCGGACCAAATCGTCTTTAAAGGTAACGGCCTCAGGCCTTGGTTAAATTGTATCAGTTGTCACTAGGTGTGTTAAGTAACTTAAAAACAGTTAATTTAAATGGTTTGATACAGCTTAAATAGGCRTTTTGTCAATACCGTTTGAGGAGGCTCCTTTGTTTGACCCACAAAGCAGTGAATGGAATTCTCTGTGGCAAAAAAGTAAAATGCAAATGATAGAAGGACATGCTGGATGAAAGAGAAAAATCACCCAAGTATAGGAGAGTGTAGGAATATATTGGGGATCTCGAAGCACCAGAAAAGCCACCTAACAAGATGAAACCATCATGCCCTCTTGCTTAGTAATTCACAAGTTCAATGTTCCTCATAGTGCTTTTTTTTCCTATAGCTGTTCATCCACTGTAATGCTGAAGAATTATGACTGGTTTTTAATACAATTATTTTTTTATTTGTATGTTGCTGCTCTGGACTTGRAGTGTCTTAATTCTCCTGTCTGTTAAGTGTAATTGCTTGTAAACATATGGCCTATAACTTAACCYCCAGAGGTTTTCCATTCTTGAAGCATCACTGTAGTGCTGTACAAGTTTTTAGTGAAGTTTTGTTGGTGTTTTTTATCTAAAATCATGCATAATACTGTGCTACAAATCCAGGATGGCCTAGATTAATGTTCTGTGTTCTACTTGTACCCGAGATAACTGCATTTTATGTGATAATTTTAGAATATTATTATAACAGCTMTCTAATAGTTCTATAAAAATAATATTTATAGATCAGTTAATCTTTAGGCATTTTTGGCATGAAAAATAACATCTCTGTTATCATAACAGGATTATATTTTCATCTGAACTACTGTGACAAGAACTGCTTGTGTTAACCATGTTTTTTTGTCTGTTTTTACAAGGCCTGTTGAATTATGAAAATAATACTAATAGCTGTTCTTGTTGGATTTTCTTTATTCCTTGGACGAAGCTATTTATGCAAAAGGTGATCTASAACAAATTATGTAGAGTCTGCAGGATAGAAGCTCTGTTATAGAGGATTAAATAGTTTTAGTAAGAACGAGCAGGGCAAATACAGAAGAGACTCATGGCAGATCAATAGACATTTCATTTTGGTAGAGCTTTTTTTTTCTTTTTCTGTGTAAAATATAAAAATGACAACTAATTGTTTCCCACAGCCACAYGTTCAGGACAGATACAAAGTTTGTAGGCTGCTAGTAATTAACTTTTATTTCAAAGCCTACAAGAGTGCCTTGTGTTTGTGTTAACTTTTATTAMAAAGCCACTTTTCTCACTCTTTTCACAGTCTAATCTACTGAACAGAGTTAAAAACAGCGTTCAGACGAAGCATCTGGCTTTCAGCCGTGATAACCCCTTTYATCTCAGCAGTCTCTTTGGAAACTTGCTCTCCTCACAGGCTCTTCTTATACTGGTTTTGTAAATGAGACAACCAAGCAGATTGTCCTTGAGTTTCCTGATTACCTCCTTACAAAGGAGAAGGGCAGAGGGGATTTAAATTAATCCTAAATTAGAGAAGAAGGGGGTACTACTCTGTTTTTAGGCTACTGCGTAAGTCTTTCTGACAGTTTCTTTCTGAAACTTTTACCCTAAACTGGTATTAAACTAAAAGGAGACTCCTGAGCCTCAGAGGTTGTCAAAACTTCCAATGGAAAGTAGAGAAACCATCTCTACAGCTTGACAACTGGTAACTGCAATACRAAATGCAGAATAACCTGATTTGCCTTTACAAAGTCTCCTTAGTCTGATCAGAGCATAACAATCGGAATCTGTGCAAGGATTAACAGRCCTTCTTCTCTGCTTATTAACAATTAAAGTTTAGGCTTGTTTTGCACCTGAGATTCTGAGGAACAAATTAGTAAAGCAATAATTTGCTGTACCTGCAAATTACTGTTGATCTTGTGATATTATTTCTCTTTGTGATGAGCTGCCTGAATAATTCAGCACCAAAGGAYTTGTCTTGCTGACGTGCTGAAAATGGATATGTGTTTTGTTCAGGAATTGCTTCGTATTTCGGGTTGCGTGCGTGACCTGCTGCTTCCCCTAGGGCCAATTAGCACTGCTGCAGTTATGAAATTTAGAAACACCTGATAATTTTGGTATATCACCTGGTTGCCTATACTCTTCTTGGTATTTGAATGGGAAGCAACATTATGTACAGAGAAATAGTGAAGTCAGAAGCAGAGAGTTCTCTGTAACAATTAATTTCACCCACACAGTGGCAAAATAAGAGGAATTATGTGAGAAATACCACTTCTGCTCCCTGTCACTTGCAATGTTTGTGTTGCTCTCCTCAGCCAGGTGGAAGTTTTATGTAGGTCAGCTGTTGTGTCATCTGGCAATGCAAAGGAAGGACTTCTAGGGAAAAATTTCCACATTCCTATTATGGTTTCAGGCACTGGGAAGAAATGCTGTATATGTAAAAGCCTTTTTTTTAATGTCCACAGACATCAACTCTAGCACTGCATGTTAGAACCAGCTTTGTGTTGAATAAGATCTGGCCAAAGCAGATATTTTGCTTACAGAATTCCATGTAGTTAGATTTAGTTAGAAAAATGGAATATATTGAATACATAGAATAGTTGCAGAATGAAAATGTTCTTCTTCTTTCCCCCCCCACCTTTTTGCAGGAAAATGCTCAATGCTCTCACTACTCTTAGTGACTTGCTCAAATGAGATTTGTGCTACACTGTCTAATGCTGTGGATCGATCACTGATGCCACGTGCAGTGCTTCCCTTCCTGCTCCTGTGCTGAGTGGGAGCTAAGGGAGCCCACTGAAAGGCAAGATGTGGCTATAAAAACATTTTATTTTTAGTGTATAAATAGGCAGAAGATGGTGGCAGGAGATAGCAGTGGAGGAGAAGGTATTTTAGCATGGCTAATTATGGCAGCCAGTCATCTTAGCCAGTCTGTTGCTTCAGAGATAGTGGGGATATGCTTTCATATGCACATTTGATCCTAATTTTCACTCTGAGATCATTATACTGATGRTTGTGCACAAATGGGGGAGAAAAAAAAAGGCAATGGACAATTAAAATCCATTAACAAATGTTTCTTTTCAGTGAGGTAATTGTAATAAAGAATACAAAAAATCTATTTCTGGCTTATCCATTTGAAAACCCTCTCAAAGCACGAGATGATGACTGCTAAGTTGRGAATATTCTTAGATATTTTGGAAAGCACTTTTTGCAGAACCCTTAAGCAGAGGATGATTTTTAAAATGTTAGAAATGAGTCTAGTATTACTTTAAATAAATACACTGCTATAGCCTAAAATCTTTAAAAGTACCTATGTAGCTAATGCCAGGTAACTTGGGATGTGGATTCTCGTAGGGTCCTGGGTTTCATTGCAAATATCCTGTTACAAAGCAAGCATTGGATTGGGAATCCCACTTCTGGTCCTGGAAATCAGGCTGTTAGAGGTAGTGTGAGGAACATTTGCTTCCAGAAATGCTTAAAGCTGAAAGTTGAGCCATAGGCTGTGCATGTGTATGATGGTACTGAAATGATGACATTCTTCAGGTTGAACATTACTGAAGCCATTAATACAGAACTGACACTAACAGTACTAGGGAAAATCAGTGATCAATAGAATTAGGATGGTTTTCATCAATCAGCCAGAAATTAGCATCRTTTTACTTTATCTTATGGCTTTCTAAGAGTAATAGTAAATTATATGGATAGAAAATCCTATTGCATGAGAAATACCCGTTTTGGAATGGAAATTGGCTAATCTAAAACAATGGCTATTGTTTTAGTATTGTGATTTTTTTCATTATACCTTACCAAAGAAATTACATGTCAAACTTCACCTCTGTCAGAAATCTTGTCCTAGTTCCTCAATTTGTTTCCATGACTACCTCCGTTTTGCACGTGATATAACAGTCCTGAACAAATCCATTATTATCTCTAAAACATCTCTTTAAAAATGAACTTCTTGGGAAGGTACTGAAGTTAGAGAAAGGTTAGGTTTCCTTTCCTGACCTCTCCCTACTAGCGTGCATAAAATTACAAGCTTCACATCTTCCCTCATCCACAGTGCTCCATTCCTAGCTGAATTTTCCAGGTTAGAATACAGACTACATTGTAGGCACTTCTGCATGGTCCTGTCCATCTGGGCTGTAAGACTCCATGCTAATTAATACTATGGTGGTGCTTATAAGAAAGGAGAATCTTCCTTAAGAAGATTCCGTAAAGAAGAGGAAAGACGAACTAGATGGGRGGCTCTTTTGCCACATGGACTCGAGTGGGAAGTTGACTCGATTGCTTTCCTTAGCCCTATCAGATGATGTTACCTGCTGCTCTGTATAGGTGTGTTTACATATAAAATGTATAGAAATAATAATTGTTGTCAAATTTCAGGATACTGTGGAACAAACCATAAAATATGATTACCAAAGGATGTATGTCTTTACGTAGCATTTACTAGAAAATGCAAGTAAAATATGTAAAATGCAAGTAAAGTATGTAAAACTTTTTTCCATCAGACTTCCTTTACTGGGTGGTGATAGTCGCTTAGGGTACTTTATTAAAATATACACATGTAGAATCTGCTTTTTTAGCCTAAATATCACACTGAAGGAATTAGATTTTTTTTTTTTGTGACCAAAGATTTATGAGTCACTATTGAAACCATAGCTAATAATTGAGAAGCATGTAAATCAAAATCCAAGTGATGAATCAAATATTCTAAAGCCTCACCGTTCTGAATCTTTGTGTGGATGACTGGTTGTTATATAATAATATTTTACTGATGTTAATCTTACATCTGTATCTACATATCATCTACACTTATACTTTACATTAATAGACAATAATTTGAATGTTGCAAAGCTTAGTAGAAAGATATTTCATGGTAGATTTTTGTTTATGGTGCATCAAGCATAGCTAATTGGAGCTCCTTTGAGTGCAAAGGAATAGGAAGTGGTTCTTCCAAAAGTGGTCTGTGGAATACCTTGGGAAAGAAGGAAGTCTTATATGGACACAAGGGCTGGACAGTTATGGAGGAGAAACTAATTGCGAGTTATCAGCGACAGAGAAACCTGGTGTGGAGTAGCCCAACGTTGGACGTGTTGAACGTTGAGAGCAGATTTCTAAATAGACTTTTGGTTGAAATGACTTATTTTATAATTTATCTAGCTAGTACTTGTTGTTTATTAAGGGATTAACACACAATATGCACTTAGACATACTTGATGGCAAATAACCTGGAGATAATGCAGTTTTCTCAAGCCTTCCTTTTTTAATTATCTCTTGGGACGTTTTGTGTTCATGGGCTTCCCCCCGGCCCATAAACATAGCTGTCACTCCTGGGATCGTTCCATAGCGTGAGGATAGATCTTTTCCTCTAGTCCTTCCCAAAGCAAAAAGAATATATTGTTTTTCAGGGATCAGTGATGCAAAAACAACCCCTTCCAAGATTACAGTTAAATATAAATACATAGTTTTATTTGTGTAGTTTTTAAGGCACTGGAGAATTGAATGTTCTCAGAACAGTTGACTCCTAAATGATTAGACCTGACAGTACTGCCTTGCTGCACCTGAGGTATTCTGGCAATCACCGCAGGTAGCCTAAGTAACTGCAGGTTTCATTCTTCTCTCTGCACAGATTGATTGTGCRTGGAGTCAGAGGCCTAATGAAGTTCTCAGCATTTTAAAAAAATGATTTCTTGTCAAACTTAAAAGTGAGAATGCTGCAGCAAAGCTTTTGATCACCATGAAAATAATTCTGTGATTTGTTTAATTGCAAAGTTAAATTATAAATCACTTTGGAGGCGGTTTGCACTGGTATACTAGTGGTTTAAAAATATATATATATATATGTGTGTCATATGTCATTATTTCTTCAATGACTTGCAAAATTTGCTAGCAGGTGTGCTATTAATGAACCAAGTGCAGCAAGTTTGAGGCCTAACCTACTGTGCACCTTGCCATTCTCCTAAAGGCTGCCTGGTGTTTTGAGATATGTTCCAGTTTATYGTGCTGGAATATTGCTTGCTGTGTAGGGGTTAAACTCGGCCCAAGTCTCATCTAGTGCGCAGACTAGTAGATTGAAATCTGGGGAACTAAAATATTTATAATTTCTGTGAGTTGTGCTATGTAAATTAATTGGAGAGAGAAAGAGCCAGTTAAGCAGCTGTTCCCACTTTGTAAAGAGGCCATTGCTTGTTAATTAGAGTTTGAAAAACAGTTTCTCGAAACATCCTTCCATGTTGGCAATATGAAAGGGGACTATTTGTASCAGATTTGGATAGAAATTCAAACGGGCTTTTGTCATGGGTAAGCTGTAAACTTTAATTGGATGACAATGTCAATATTTTTGAATTTCACGCTGTTTCATACTTGGTTTCATGTTGTTGTTTGTTGTAAAAATTGCAAGCTATGAGACAGCCAAAAGCTGAAGGCAAATAGTGAAGAAYTGCAGTAGATCAGAAGGAGAAATAGTTAACTGTGAAGCAAGCCAATATATCCTGMTTCTGAGAGCAAGGATTTTGAAGGCGGGGGAAAATAGACTGCTGATGCTTCTCTGCTCTGCTCTGTTGAGAAGAAGGTGAAAGAATGAATCAGAGCTTCACAACAGCAGCTAAATAATAGATGTGCTTTGGGCTGGATGCCCACGAGCTGGATTCACTGGGCATTTGTCTCTGCTCAGGTAACTCGTCGCCCTTGGAGCAGGACCAGCTCTGCAAGGTGCTGCTAGTGCCCACGATACCTCGGCTCATCCTGGTAACTAAAAGTGCTGCTCCCTGTACGTTTTGAAGCTCCTTCATATCGAGCAGCAAATGCCTCAGCCAGCAGATAATTTCACTGCCAGAGATATTCCTGCTAATAGATGGGAACAGCATGGCTCCAGAATTACACGGAGGGGAAACCAGAGCAGCATGAAAGTGAATCAGGGCTAAAATCGATCAAGTGTAGTTCTGGTTCACTGCGTAACGGTGCTAAGTGCCTTCAGGAGTGCTCAGCTATAGCTGTGCATCTGCGAGAATAAGGTAATAATTCTCTGAAGGTGGCCTGAGATGCACAGATGGAAAACGTCTCTCTACTGGCAGTGCAGACCATTAATATTTATTGGGCATTAAACCCAAAGAGCCCTGACAAGAGCATGTGCATTGGAGGGGCCTATTTGCAAACTGCYGCTAGTCTGAGAGAGGAAAATAGTTCTTCATCTGCTCAATAAAACCTCTTTCCAAGACCGAAGARAAGCAGATATTTCAGAACTAATGAAAACCACCTAGAAATTATAACGGAAAGGAAAAGAAGCAATATGTTGCAACAAGTCTTGCTGTCATACTTAGTATTTTTAAAATATAGGATGTTATGGAGACAGGATTTCTGCGTCTTAGATGGTGTCATCTCATTTTTAAAACTTTCTTTTTATACAGTCAGAAAGGGATGAGGAATAGCGGGTCTTGATGTAAAGCTCTAGTTATTTTGTGCACTATCTTAGTCCTAGTTTCAATGCAAATTGGCTTGTTAGGGTAAATTACAAATACTTCTCTCACTTCCCCAAACATAGAGCAGGTGACACTCTTAAAAAGTTTGCGACATGAAATTATGTTTCAGTCACCCCTTTTCTCTCGGGACTTCACTGATACCCTATAAATAGGATGAGACAGAGATTTCCCCAAACAGTTTTTTCCCTTCATTGGCTTCCCTAGTTTACCCCAAAGAAGGGGAAGGAGAATTTTCCATCAATGCAAAGAACCAATTCTCGGTTTCTTAGATAAAACTCTACATCAGACCAAAGTGCACAGTAAGGGAATTTAGTAGGGTGAAAGAAAATAGGCTCTAGATGTCAGCTGTTTGTATATTATATTATTATTATATATTATTATTGTATATGCAATCTCTTTGGGCTTTAATATGGCTGTAAATCAAAAAAAAGCCCTGAGACTTGATTCCTTTTTTGGCAGGAAAGAAGGCGGATGCAGCGGTCAGAGGCTTCAGTGTTAGCAATTTACTYCTTGAAACACAAAATAATGCAATGCTGGTTAATAGATGCTTAAAGGAATGTCATACGCTGCAGAAATCTGAGCCTTTATTTGAGCTAGGCATTAATACAGTCTGGAAGTAGGGAGCATATCTTGGTGCTTTTGATAATTTCCTTTCAGTCTCACTGAAAATGTGCCATTGCAAATAGAAGCTCTTTTTAAAGGGTGGCAAATTGAGTATTCTGTTGGTTCGTGTTTGTTTTGCGGTTGAACAGTATCTAAATGTTGTTCGCATGGATTTCGGTTACGTAGTCYGTCTTTTCTTGCTTGGATTTGCCTCCTTTTTCTTCAGATATTGTTTTTCTTTTTACTGGTCACTTATGCGTATAATTGACTCTAAATTCTTAATAAGGCTAATGATATTACTTGACATAGTACTAAACTATGCTTTTATTTATCAACAGTAAGCATGCTATTGCATATAATATTAAACATTTYGTATCAAATTACTCAAGGAGCATGCTGGTTTCAGAAGTATATCCTAAATAATTGTACCTCATAAGGCAGGAATAGATTTTGATTTCCATGTGTTTCAGTGTAACATTTTGCTAAAAATTACTTTACTTGTTCTAGATGGTTTATGTTAAAAATCAGAGCTGCAATTTCCAGAAAAAGATAACTTCACAGTTTATCTTTTCAGGTTTCAACATCTTCATAGTCTGGCAGTAGTCGATAAAGTCACAGTCTTTTCTGAATCACGCACAAGACAACATAAAAATAGCTTTCAGTAGCAGCCTCTAAAGTGGGTTTTCCCATTTCAAGGTCAGAGCATCCCTTGTGTTTACAAGCAGGGTGGGAAGGAACYAGGCAAGATTGAAGCATTGCAAACATGGCATTGAAAAGCCCTTGATCCTGAGCACTCAGGAAAACGTTCAAATCCGAAGTCTTTCTTTATGTTTTTAATGGTTTCTCTCTTGCAGAGTGTTTAAGAGTGATTGTTCTGTAAGATTTGCATAGGTGCAAAAATCCCCATGACTTTCCTCCCGTGTCTGTCTTCACTGCTGGGGTCTAATCCTGCATTTCTTGAAATTTTCTCACTCTTGTGGTATTTTTTTTTAACCATGTTACTCTGAAAGAGTAAGCAGCAGAGTAAAAAGGATGAATTGTGCCTGGTTGTTATGTATGTATGTGTTTAGACCTTCCTCCTTACCCAATGAAACAGTAAATAGTGATTTTTCAGACAGCCTTACTGCACTCCTGCTGCCCGTGCAGTAGGGACAGGAATCCATATCCATATATRCTATGCCTTAATTTGAAAGCTTTTTTGATAATAACAGGTAGAATATGCTCATCATGGTTTCAGTTCATTGTAATTAATTTGAAATCCTGAGTAACTGATGCAGGAGAAACTGCTCATTTAGCTYGTTCTTGATATATTTGTCCTTTAGAGATGTATTTTCATACTTTAGAAAACGCTCCATTACATGTAATTCACAACAGACCTGTTTTGTGAAGGCCATTCTTAGCATATATTTATTTTATCGTCTCCAGAGTGAAACGAATGCCATGGCATCCTCAGGCCTCTTCTTCAAAGATGGCAAGAAACGCATTGATTACATCTTGGTCTACAAAAAGTCAAGTCCACAGGTAGAGAAAAGAAGCACGTTTGAGAAGAACTTGCGAGCTGAGGGCTTGATGCTGGAAAGGGAGGTGAGTCTGGTAGCTTGTGGTATAAAAGAGTCCTCGCAAGACTGGCGTCCTCTGAATTTAAGAACCCTGACACGCATTTCTGGTCAGGCTCTTTCTTCCCATGTGGTATGTTTTCCCCTCAAGCCAGATGAATGATTGGACACAGGATTAACTGGTTTAATAGTGCTTTTTCAATACTATTAAATAAGCAATAATAATAGCTTAATTGGCTTGTGTTTAAAACGCTGTGCATGGACACACCAACATGCACAGCTAATGAACGGACCCATTACTATGGTATTGGTAAAAAGCAAATTTAAATTTAATGATTAGTGCAAGCTTTCACTGTTAAAACTTTCTTTAAATAGGCACTGGAAAAATTGGTATCAAGAGTAATCTTAAGACTTTCTAAAAAAGAAGCAAGAGGATGATTTTTGTCCAGTGATCTCTGATCTGATTCAGCCTACTTTGCCAAAATTCCACACTAATATCTCTTTTTATGTAGTTGCTTATATTAGAGATGAATTAATTGTATCTGGGTGCTCACAGTCAACCTTTAAATATGATAAAGAAGGTGCTGTTTGCTTTGACATGCAAATCTTTTGCATGCTCCTGCTGTGCAGGAGTCTGTGGTGCTCCATGCTGCAGTGGGTGGCATCTCAGGAGTTTTCAATTGCCTCTATGAAGTGATGGACAAACACTTTATTTGTTCCTCTAGCACCATTTCAGAAAAAAAAAACCAAAAAAACCTTTAATTGTTGCCCTTGTGATTGGGATATTGATAACGATAGGACAAATATAAAGGAAGTCAGAGCAAGGAAAACTGCCATGGACTTTTGCTGTTTCATGGACTATTTAGAAAAAGGATATTAGTTTAATCCATTCTGAAGTAAGTTTCCATACTTCATAGGTCTTTCATGATGTATGTTCTTCAACATAGTAGAATTTGCTTCCTTGYTCAGTGTTAAAACAATCAGATTTTAGCTGTTTATGAGTTATTCTTGCAAGTATTAACTGATGTAGCATGATGGATATTCATAAATGACTGAAAATGTGAAAATATTTTCAAGTTTTTGTTTAAAGTTTGGAAGTGTTTGGAGCCTACGAGAGAGAGGAGAGGGAAACAAAAATAAATTGGGGACATTTATTGATATCAGAGTAKTTTTTCCAGGACTAGGTAATAAGCTTTGATATTTTAGAAGAAAAAAGTTTTTATAATTTCAGTTCTCTATTTATATCTCAGGTAGGAATAGTTTTAAGTCTGGGATATTTGGTGTGTAATTGTCTCATAGGAGCACTCTTTGCTGACGTAACTGAGAAAATGGAAATCCTAAAAGCACTGCTTCAGACATCTGAAATAACTTTACAGAATTGTTAAACTGTGGATATCTTAAATGTTACTAACTCTTTAAGTACTTTTATCTTCCATTGCTAAACCTTGTATTAATCAAGTGTTTTGAGAGGCTCTTATTGAGTTCATCTGATTTGAATTGTTTTTATAAACCGTATTTGCTTATAAAAACCCAAACAAATACATCTGGGAGAATAATTTGAGATAGAAGTAGAAAAGACAAGTGTAGGAGCCTGTAATACTGAACGTCTCATTTTATGTGCAAATCAATATATGATGGAGAACATCTATGTGTAGCATTTGTGCTCCTAAAATCTAAACTCATACGGACACCACACTTATAAATTTATGGTAGATGACAATTACTTAGCTACTGCACAGATGATCTGCTCTGGCAGAGTGGGACCTGCAGCCTTCCTTCAGTTGCTCTGGTATTGGCAGCACCTGAGCACCACGCTCCTTCAACAGGAGATGCACGGAATGACCCAGAAACTGCTTATCTAGGATGGTTTGGGGGGGCTGTAGGATGCACACGTTTCATCCAGGTCAAAAATTACCATGGAGAGCTTCTCTGTGCTGCTGCTGGGGTTGTGAGCCAAGTTCTGTGCTACAAATACCTTTTGACAGTTGCTAGTATCTCAGGGGTTGGGGAAAAAAATGTTCCTAATTTCCTTCTGACTCTGAGTATTTTCAGACCTGCCTAGGCGCTTGGGACCTAAAMGCCAAATTTGAGCCTGAAGAATGATTTTAGAAGCCTGAATACCACTTTGGATTGAATTATTAATGTGTATTTATTTGTTAYTCTTCATTGCAGCCAGCTGTTACAAACAGTGATATCATGTTTGTTAAAATTCACTGTCCATGGGAGACATTGTGCAAGTATGCAGAAAGAATGAACATCAGGATGCCTTTCAGGTACTGAAATGTGGAAACTATTTTTATTTTAAGGAGCTTGAATTCATTGCTTCATTTTAAAAATGTAGAACTTCCCCTAGGGGTACAGTGCCATCCCCTCATTGCATTGTGCCAGGTATGCTATATATTTTATTCAAGAAGATGGTAAGGAGAGAGGAAAAAGCAAAAAACATTGTGTTCTTTTTACTTTTACCTGTAGCATTTGTTTGCAGGCTTAAATGCAAGTCCAATCAAGCGTCTGTCTGTGGAACTTGCTGCTAATGGCTCACACACGGTTTTGGATTTCTGTGTTAAAGAAATTTCTCCTGCTAAAGTGGGTCCTTTATCTGTGTGCTAAACATCCTCTATTTACCAACCCTGGCATGCCTCTTTTTGCAATAAATACTGTAGGCAAGTTAATCTCTCCTGTAATGTTGCCTGCTTTCTTACAGGGGAAAAATGTTTTCCATTTGAGTAATTGTATTTTTCCAGAGAGGGAAGAGCTTTGTTGCTTATGTTGAAGCCATCAGGAATTAAACTGGTAATCAGATGGCAAAGCTGTGTGTGACCCAGGGGGGATACCCTCACAGCCTTCCTTTCTCACTTGAGCTGTCCTAAGCTCTACCTTGCTCGTCCCTGCTGATTGCACTGATCCCAAGCCAGAAACACAGGCAGAAGAACCCTGAGCTCAAAAAACTGTTTTAAATTCTCCAGTTCTATCCTGACCTTTCACATTGTTCAATGAATCCTTCGAGTTCTTTTTTTATGAAAAATATTTTCGTAATAGGCACGATTTGTGTGTTTAAGACTATAGGAAAGTGCCATTTGAGTTCTCTGGTTTGAACAATCCTTTGTCCACGTGTAAATATAGTGGTGTGTGTGTTTAAATATGTACATAAGCGTTCTAAATTACTATCCAAAAAATCATTTTCACCCCCGTTGATAGCTAGAGTCACTACATTATGTTGGGTTTTAGAACAGGTTTAAGTTCTTCATCCTTTTAATAACTTAACAGACCAGCAGTCCATGCCAGATAAAATTGGCCAAATTTTGCAAAAGAAAGGCTGACTTTTTCACTTTAAATAGGACCTTTTATGATAAGAACTGGTGATAAATGTGATATTAACTGTTAAGTCCTGGGCTTAAAGTGTGTGTTTATGGTAACGGGSTGATTCGTGTGGAAGACAAGTGCTGCTTGTTCTGACTGCTTTGYACAAGAGCAAGCTCAGGATACATTGGCCTGTAGTTTAAAGTGTTTGGGTTTTTGCTTGCTTTTAAAACAAGCAGTGTATATCTGATAATCATGTGAAGCTTTACAGTGTATTTCAGAAATGCAGTCGAAAGATTCATTTCATCTGTGTCTACGAGTATCCSTTGTGAAACAAATTATGCCTTAGTATAAAGAATAAATTAGATGCTTCTCTAATTTAGCTAGACTCTACGTAAAGCAGTTAAAAACAGTTAAGGTATTGAAGTGTGGGGTTTTTTTGGGGGGGGGGGGTTGTTTTGTTTTGTTCCCAAAACGGCAATGGCTTAAAAGCCTTTAATTTTTCTTTGTTTCTTTTGCTATTCTGCCTAATTCTATCAAGTCTCTGCCTGCCGAAAAGCTACTGGTTGGTAGATACAGARTTTTTCTTGTGGTCATGTGGTTTCTAGCCTATATTTCTTCCCCTTTCCTTTTAATATGCTCATAATGATATTGTTTTAGTATACCCTAATRAATCTCAAATACTATCGAGATGAGCAACTGTAGATCTTCTTAGATAGGGGTTCTTTTTTCTGTGATTATAGGTTAATAAGTTGCCATCCGAGGGAAACTTCATTTACTTAGAAGCAGAATTATATTCTGGTATGTTAGAATGAAAAGGGGGAAGCAAATGACTGAAAAACAATGTGCTAAGCCTTGAACTGAAGTATCTAAATAGTTTGCTTTAATTAAAAGAACTTAAATATAAAAGTAATTGCTTCAGGTAATGTTCTTAGATTTTTGAGGGTATGTAATGCTCTTCAGTTGCTTGCAAAATGTCAAGGGAAAGTGGTGAGGTACCCAAGAGAGCGATGATGGTGCAGTGTTTAATAAATAGCATTAATATTAAATGTTATAATATTAATGCTATTTAATGCATAACGTGCATAGGGTATTTAATACCATGAAGACTTGTGGTGATTTTTCTAAAACGAGTTTATGGTGTCAAGAAATACTAAGAGAGATCACATGGAGGGAATACTAATGTGAAGGCAGTTGAACTCTGTTGAGTGGGTTTCTTGTGAATGAATTAGTGATTACATCGGTATAAATGAAATCAAAAATTAAAATGCCAGTCAGAAACAATTTTCCAACTTGAAAGTATGTGAAATCAGAGCAGTGTAATGGCTTTCTGTATCTCAATTGCCTTTTAAAAATGTTTTTCACTTTTCTGTCTGTTATATGTTAAGTTATAATGTGTCCAATTGTCTTTGATAATGTATGTGTCCCTTTCATTTGCCTCTTGGTTATTCTCAGCTGATTTTTGCTGTTCTTTCAGGAAAAAATGTTATTACACTGACTGGAGGAGCAAAACCATGGGCAGGTTGGTGGGTGATCTGTAGCTTCTAATTTTGTCAAATAGTCACCCCGCTAAAGAAAATCCATGTTTGCAGTTGTAAATTTATCCACTCAATTTGGGGAGTAGATTGCTTTCCTGAAAACTCAATATATGCTAATTCAAGCTGCTAAAATATTCAGCTGCAACAAGATGCAGTAGTGTAAAGCTTTGCCAGATCTTATTTAGAAAAGTAARAAGTTTTATGCCGGGAAGGAGGAGGAGGAAAAAAACCTCATCCTGTCAGTAAGATTTAATACTGGGTCATCTCTGTAGCTGCATCTTCTGTCACTAAGATGTAAGATATTTTTGAGTGCATCATGTCTTATAGGATAAGCTGTACTAGTCAGCTATAAGCTTAAACACATAAAACGTAACTTCTCTCTAACGTGTCCTGTTGATCAGGACGAACTCGATGCACAGAAGTTGAAGTCTGTCGTGAATTTTTATTTCATAGCTGCTGGAACAACTGCAGTGAAACATCTTGAGCTCTCTAGGATTTAAGTTGTGCATCTTCAGTCTGCCATTAATATGAATATTTGAAAAGCATTCAGTTATAGCATAACTGCCTCCAAAATTGGGAATCTCCAGCATTTTACCCAGGATGGCATGAGAGGGTCAATAGAGGCAAATGCAGTAAGCCAGAAGCAACAGCAGCAGCAGCAACAGGTGAAAGAACCTGCAGGGATAAGGGGAAAACTGTGAGCTGTAATTGCTCCCTGTTGCTCTGGTAAAACATAATGATGTTGTGTATATCCTAATGAACTGTGGAAGAGAGATGAAAATTGCTGCATGAGGGAAATCTTCTGGAACGCTTCTCTATCACAGCTTTTCTTGGGAGGCATCCTGGGACGGGATTCCAGTTACCTTCTCCTGTCATTRCTTTAGATGATCCTGAGTTCTCGTGATTTCTCGGGAACAATTTGTATAGTCTTATGATAGCAATTGCAAGATCATCAGGTAGCAAAAATAACCCCCCAAACTGCTGAACCGTAAAGCGAGAAAATTTGGTTTACATAGGCTAACAAGGTATATTGAAATAAAATAATCTGTAGCATAAATTTACAACTGCATTTTTTCCTCTCCCCAGTCATTCATCTGCTTGCTTCATTTTCATGTGTGTTATGAGAAATGTAAGCGGTGGGAATTGTAATGCAAAGGCAAAATAAGAACTTTACTGGAAGATGGTCTTATTTTACCTGTCATCCATCTGCTGTGTCCTCGATGATAAATTAAAAAAAAAAAAAAAAAAAAAACTCCTTATTTAAAAGCACAGATGTCTGAAACATGCAAATAAACCCATAGAGTACCTGTGAACAAACTCAAAAAATACTTTTGGTGGCAGGTGAATAATTTTTGCCTAGAGATAAATACTGTTTCCTGTGCTGTATTATTTGGGAGAATTTGGAGATGGTTTTTTGTGACTATTTATTCTAGTACATTAAAGAGTACTGTGCACTAACTGATAGTGTRAAGGAGAAACTATATCTGCATATGCAAGCTCCAAAATTGCTGCCATACGTGTCCTGTCATTCCAACCTCTACTATTGTAACTGTTTTATGTTTCTTACGCTTTTTCATACTTTTCTGTACTCTAGCAAGTATCTCATTAGTATTTCTAAATTGGAAAGTGGAGTATATAAGAGTAAGGTATATGAGTTAGAATAAAGTATGTTAAAAACATGGTGTATCAAAGGTAAGATTTTGAATGAGTTGTCAATTAAGAATATGCTATGACATTATTATATTAGACTCCATGACATATGCTTGCTTTGAACTTATTTTTGTGTTTATCTGATAGCAACATTTATCTGCAGATRTTCTTAAAGAAAAAACAAACAAAACTGCAAAAGAATATTAAGGTATCTGGAGGTAAATGCAGTGCTTATGGTTTTTATATAATGGGTCACTCATGAGACCTACCTGTGTGCTATCTCCCTGCTTATTTATTTACATACCTTAAAAAAAATTCTTCAAAGAGGTTCTGGAATTGGCGATCATTTGGAATAAAACATCCATGAAATTCAGCTCGCTGTAGAACATGAGCTAAGCGAAGAGCTCTGTTGGGCTGGATTATTTTTACATGTGAGGAGATGAGATGTGGTCTTTAGCTGCAATATTCTGTGCTATTTGAAGGAATGAGTTTTGGAGTAACCCAGTGAGGTAATGGAAAAAACACATCTTAGATAAAACCCCTTTTTACTTCAGAGGAGAAGTTCCAAATGTAACATAAATCTCCTTTTTAGGTTATTCCAAATTTGTTTGTCATGATTTCATGTTGAGGAGACATGGGTTTTTAAAAAATGGTTTATTTCTCTAAGAGAAGATTCATCTACCATCCTTTTTATATTTTTGATGGGAAAATACCTGAAGCTTTTTGTATAACTATAAAATAATGTCTTGAAAAAAATCAGATATTTTATGTTTACATATTTTTGTAGCTTTTAAAGAAATCGACACCTGAACCAAGAAAAATGAAGAGAATAAAATGAAAACTTTATACTTAGATTYGCTGTGTGAAACTTAGTAGTGTGAGAGCCTCTTACAATTACAATAATGTAATTCTCAGGATAAAATATTATTGAATAAATGAGGCACATAAGGGATGCAGTTAGCTTTGTTTCAGCTTCCTGCACATAGTTATAATCTTTGGTTCATAAAGCATAATATCAAGTAGAGTTGTGTTACCAATACTATTTCATAAAGGCAGCATTTTTTGCTCATTGAGATTGAACCAAAATTTTCACTTTTATCCTTGATCATCTATTTAACACTAAAAAAATCCTCTAAACCAAGTCTTTTAATGCCAAAAGCTCTAATATCATGCTCTTTATATCAACTAAAAAATCTGAGAGCATGGTGGTTCTATTGTTCTTCATTTAGCATTATTATAGGGCAAAGTTAAATGGAAAATCTGTGTTTTTTCTGGATCTGACATGCTTCTGGTTTCACAATAGGAGCCTTCCTGTAAAATGAGATTTAGTCCTTAAATATTCACCTTTCATTGCAGTTCAGTATGAGAAAAATAGAGGTCTTTGAGGAGTGCTAAACTGAAGTTGCAAGAAGGTAATTTCTAGCATGCCCTGTAAAATTAACTATATTACACTATTTCTTTCTCTCTGTAAAACCTGTCCTGAGAGGACAAGTTTCTAGCAGAAAAAAAGCTATGAATGTTACCAGTGTAAAATATATACAGAGGAAAGCAAACAAAAATGATCATCTTGTTCACTATAGTAACAATTTGGAGAACTTAATCTAGTTATCTAGAAAATCTTGCAGAATAAGATTTTACGAAAACTGGCAGTGATTTGATTCAGAAAATTTTCTCTTGAGCAGTCCTTTATATAAATAAATAAAGAATTTAGTGTCGAAGTTGCCAGGGGAGGGAGGAAGTATTGACCTTGTGTTGGCCAGTGGATGTCGCAAATGAGCCAGCCTGCAAAATGATTTTGTGCCTACAAGTCTGTTAGTGATTTTTATCTATTGTCCCCATTTTTTCTCCCCAATCTCAACACCATCTGAAACCTTAACCTCACTAACTATAGATGAGTTGTGCTTGAGTCAGGCGAGCAGGACGAGGTCACAAAYCGTCACCCTTTATTCTGCTTTTGAACTGCTTGTTTTCCTGGGGCTCCTTAGTGGGGAGAACGTGGGGCCCGGATTTCGGTTGCAGGGCAGCGTTGCTGGGGATGTGCTGATGAGAAACGCGAGCGAGCGGCTCTGACTTCTGGTGGTCTCAGCTTGCAGAGGAATATGAGAGAGCTGAAAAGCTGGCTGCCCAGAAATCCGATGAAGCTGGATAAGGAGGCGCTGCCGGATCTGGAGGAGACAGATTGCTACACGGCCCCCTTCAGCCGCGCGCGCATCCACCAGTAAGTGCCAGCCGGGAAAGGCGGCCCCGAGCCCGCGGCGGGGCTTCCTTCCCACGTCTCAGCAAGTGCCGTGCAGGTCACCAGTAACAGATGGTCGCTAGCAAATACCCACTGTCATAGATGAGGGTTTTTTTCCTGCAGGTTTTCTCCTAAAGATTAAAAACTACCCTCTGACAACCACTCGACAGTTGCTCAATAGCATAGTCCRGCGTTTGCCTGAAAAAGGAGCACAGCCTTTTTGGTTGGGAGGTGTTCCTCTCCGTTACATAACAAAATGCAGACTGTTGCTCGCTGTGCTTAATTACAAAACTTGCTGAGACCAAGCTGAGGCATCTGTTGAAACTGGGAAAAGCTGGAAGCAAGCTAAAAACAGAGACGCTGCTTTTTAACCAAATGCACATTTTGAAGAGCGTTTTTTTCTGTGAAAGTGTAAATGTATCCGTGGAAGAACTGTATGATATGTATGTGTGCAGATCAGCRGGTTGAGGGTGACGTAGTTTAGCAGTGCTATTTTCTTCAATATAATTTTCTTTAAGGGCGAAAACAGTAAAAGACTTAAATTCTGCTGGTTTCTTAGTTTTTAGATTATTTTGGGATAGTTCTTTAGTACTGAAAAATTCACTTACAGTAAAAAATGTAACTTTTACTAGAGGGAGTTTCTTCTCAGTAAAGTAGCAGTATGTTCATCTCCTGAAAGGCCTGGAAAGGCAGAGTAACTGTGTTGTTATCTCAATTTGTGAGTAGTTTACTATACTGTGTTTAGTCACCTGTTTTTGGTGTCACTTCTCAGCCAAGTCAGCTGAAGTTTTGAGCTGCAGCAGTGTCACTTTTGGCACAACGGAGCAAGGGAAAGCTCCTGTGTGTCAGATTTTTGGCTCCCAGAATCAGAACCATTTGGGAAGGATGGGAAAGGCTTGGCTCCATCCTGCGAATCTCTAAGGAAGAGACTTGTGAAGCTGCTACTCAAGTGCCCGGTGTGGGGAGACTGCTATTTCCAGGCTGAATAGCAGTCCTAATAGTTCTTTGACCCAGACATAGGCTGAATTCATCAGTAAAACAAATTTGAGAACAATCCTCACTACTTCTGAAGATCTGATTTGTATTTTTAGATTTGTATTCAAAATAGAAATGATCTAGATGTTAGAAAAATATTCATTTTAGTGGCTTTAGTTGCTTGCTTTAGTTGGTGTAGTTGCTTGCTCACAATAAACTTGGATAATGAAAAATTTAACAGCTTATCCAGAGATGAGATGTAATATCTTACACCCTGTGCAGTTACCCCGAAATGGAAAGAGGCACTAAATCACTGTAAGAGAATATTGAGCTATTTTGTTTCCAACGCCCATGCATTGKTTTGCATATTAAAAACATTATTTTTTCAACAGTTTTACCATAAACAATAAAGACAGCTTCTTCAGCAACTCCACCCGAAGTAGAATAGTGCATCACATGCTACAGAGGACAAAGTATGAAGATGGCAAATCCAAAATGGGTGAGCATGCTGTGTGCTTTGTTCCCTTGAAGATGTGAACACTTGCTAGYCTTACTTGCCTGAACAGGTATCAGTTGAGTAAACTCAGTTTTTACCACCCCTTAAAATCTGTTTATTCAGTTAACAATAGAGCTGACTGAACATGACCATCAATAGTCATAGGATTCAATGAAAAATTGTCAGCTTTTTCACATAATATATTTTAAAATAAATCAGGGAGGCAACGATAACTTTGATAGCCAGCCACACTGAAGAGTATGTAAAGATCAGATTTAAGCAGAGATYAGATTAAAGATCAGCTAAGGAGAGGTTTCTGGGAGTGGTCCTAGCAGTTCTGCTGGCTTACAAGGCTTACAGTCCACAGGGTCAATGTGAGCTATACTGAGCTTATTTAAGGACACTCCTATTGCAGTACAATTTCTCAGAAGCTCTGATTCTTCATTTTAATAGATGTGTGTGACTTTGAATTTTATTGGAAGAATTTTTATATATGTGTATATGTACACACACACACTGTTGTACTTAGAGGTGTATATTTCTGATGGTGACAGAAATTACAGCAAGTTGTTGCCTGTGCTTGGTGAAGGAAGGCAGTCATAAGAAAAGTGCAGGGAACAAGGGTTCATATCCAATCCCCCTGAAGCTGATGGCAGACCTCATTTTGAGTTTAATTTGGCATAATAATTTTGAAGTAAGCACATCTGAAATCATGCATGAGAACTTATTTCTTGAGGAAACTGTTGGTTACAGGTATCCTTTCAAAGGTTATTGCATCTCTTTGTTATTGCTGATTATTTATTCATTCCTTATTAGGCTGATCACATAGCAGATCTATCTTGAAACCTCCCAGGAGCTGAATCAAGCCGGTATTGTGCAGAGCACACATCTTAGACAAGCTTCTGTGGCTGTGTTTAAACAAAATAACAACAAACAGGTTGGGTTTAACCCTGCAGGCCTTTGTCTGTCCGTACCACTCTCCGTGGGCTGGATCATCTGGTCAGCCATGAAATCTGTATCCCACGCTCTGATTAATGCGACACAACTGCGGCCGTGTTCTCACCCTTGGTCTGGCACGAGCCCCAGCTAGGGGAGAGCCGGGGCAGGCGTTAGGTTTAAGAAAGTCCCTCTAGTTTGACACATCCAGAAACCTCAAGGCTTTGCTTAGAGCTGGTCGCTGATGTGTTTAACAGCATCCTGAGCTGTTAATGGCAAGTGATGCTCTCAGGACGTAGCTTGAGATTTAGTGCTACTTGAAGACAAACATTAAAAGAAAATTGGCCTGGGATCTAATGGAGATCTAATCTCTTTATGTTTTTTCCTCTTAGGTATTAATAGATTACTAAATAATGGAACATATGAAGCTGCATTTCCTCCTCATGAGGTAACCTGTTTAATTTTATATTTTGTATTTTTTATTTAAAATAAAACTTCTGTTAATATTCAGAGATACTACTAATTTTTTGTCTTTTAACCTATTTTGCTATGTAATCTGTTCAGTCTTTTTTATTTATAGTCCTAATAGGATGTTGGCTTTCTGACTTTGCCTTATCAAAGCATTGCAATAATATTCCGGAGCAGCTTCATACTGATCTAGAATATTGTTATATTCACTCATTTTTTTTAATAAATAGACATTGTCTGTGGAGTTCTTAAAAAGAACATGAGTTGTTCCAATGAGTTGCTTTAAATTACTTCTGTGTGTCATACACAAAACGTTTGATTTTTCTGATACACTGCGTGGTGGATCAAGTTAGGGAAATGAGTTAATCATTTCCTGTTTGAGTAGTTTCTGTGTAGTTGTAGATAACTTGTGTTTGAAAATGTCTTCTTTAGTAGATCAAAGGCTACTTATAAACTTGTGAAATTAATGAAAAATGTGTCTTTGTCTTCAGGACTTTTGTGTCAGCCTTTGGGTATTGAAAAGGAGGAGGCAAGACACATCTTGAGTCATCTTAAACGCCTTTCATGCTATGATCACCCAGCCAGTGGCTTTGTAATTGCAGCTGCGAACTCTGGTGGCGCTGGCTGGATGCTGAGACATGATCTTGTCTTTCAGGGGCTGACCTGTGCTTTTCAGTTTGCTTTTCAGTTTTTTATGTAGTATTAATAATTGAACACAAGGATATGTTGAGGAGGAATATTTWAGATAAATAATTGAATATCGTTGGTAACACTTCAGTTAAATGTTAACACTGCAGAGCAGGAGAGGGTTCTTGAAGGCTGTCGGGAACATCAAGCAAGGGCTGGAAGGAGGCCTCTTGGGCCAGACTGGTGCTGTCTTTTGATTTTAGTGCCTCAGAGTCCTGTGTGGACTTGAGGATAATGCCAGTTCTGTTGTTTTCATCCTTTTTAGAAAAAAAATATCCTTGAAAGACCAGAAACAATGTGTTTTTCTATCCTTTTAATCAGGGATTAAATCAAATCGTAGGATGTATCTAGGAGAGGAGAATTAAGCTGATAGAGTAGAAATTTTTGAAATTTTGTAGGAGAGAAAAATAAATAGCATGTAGACAACTTGGGAAAACTTGTGAAACAAGGAGATAGGCTGAAGCACACAAACATCTGCTATTGAAATAGAAACAGTGCACATAAGGAGCTGGCTGCTTCTGTGTAGTCTTGTCCTGTTCTTTTGTCATTAGTTCCTAGAGAAAGTGGCCTTCCTGCACCACATCCCTTGCATCAAACTTGTGTGTTAGCTCCAGGTGATGTTTCCTGGAGTTACGCACAATAAATGAAACTGGCTTAATAAAAACAGGGATATTATAGAGATTTATAATTGTATTTTAAAGTCTAATAAATGCATGTCTTTTCCTTAGTGGCTAGTAAAATAGTTTTATGTCTTTGTACCTTTCAGGGGAGCCACAAAAGCAGACATCCCATCAAAACACACGGAGCGCAGAATCACAGGCACCTGTTATACGAGCGCTGGGCACGGTGGGGAATGTGGTACAAATACCAACCTCTGGATTTAATCAGGTAGAAATTCTTTCAAAAGCAGCCTGTTTCTGTGAGGTGAATAGCATGATAACCACAGTGCTAAAATCCCTGTGTTTTACTGTAAAATTTGTTAAAATTCCGCTATTTTATATGACAAAATAAGACACAGATTCTACGCGCTGTTTCTTCTGGCTTGTCTTTTGTTGTTTGCCTGTTTCTTTTAAGTGAGGCTGTATAAAGACACACAAATCCACTCACGTGGCAGTGAAAGAACATGAAAATTGCAGGCCACATCAGTTAAATCTTATAAAATACTTGCTTTWGTAAGAGCACGATTGATATCACGAGAATATCATGCCAGCCTGAATTAAAATGTATTGATTTGGGACTGCTGTTCAGCCAATAATTACAGCATCAACTCATAATCCAGTCTCCTTTTTAGAATTATTCTACTACCAAGAAGACAGGGTCATTGTGAGTTTTATATTTAAACAACGTATGTATTTTTGTTTCTCTTGTAGGCGATACTTTGGTGAAAAAATTGGGCTGTATTTTGCCTGGTTGGGATGGTATACTGGAATGCTTATCCCCGCTGCCCTTGTTGGGCTCTTTGTTTTCCTTTATGGTTTATTTACAATGGATTCCAGCCAAGTAAGGTAAAATCCCTGTTAAAAACATACAAAATCCTTTGGATACTTAAAAAACCTACTGATGCTGCTTAAATAGTTAAACTTTTATATGCTTTCCAAATTTGATATTTGTGAAATGATAACCAAATGGGATAAYCAGGCTGGATGCTTAACACATCACGTGCTGCATCTGCAGTAATTCACATTCTGGCTGTAAGGAAACCCACCAAACACTGATTCAGCTGTAAAATACACTGCAATGGTTATCAGCCTAGCGAAGCCTGGCGGGTGGGCAAGCTGAGCAAATGTCCCTCTTTAGAACCGTCCTGCCTAGACCTGCCAGCATGTAGTGCAGCCGCAGAGCCTTCCATTTACTTAGCCTTGCCTAGCTCATGCCCTTGTTGTRTATGCAATTTTTTCCCCTCTAAATGTAGTGTAAATGTCATAGAACTTAAAATCTGATGTTTTTGTTTTTTTTTCTCTCCAATATGTTGATGTAAACTGCAGCAAGAAAACATGAATTAAGGGAGATTAACCAATTGAAGAGAGTTTTCAAGTTTCCTAGTGTTAGGGTTTCCCTCGGAGAGGGACTATGTCAGTTTAGAAGTAGTGGCAAGTGTGACAGTAAGGGCTGACTGTGCTTTTGGGAACTATTTCAGAGGAAAGCCCTCTGYTACAAAGGTTTGCATTGGGTGTCATCACACTGAGCAGTAACTGCTCTGAGCATTTTGACCTTGTTCAAAGTTGCTTTTTAGACTTTGGGCAGGCATAGTTTATCTTTGTTTATGGAATTGTCTTTATCTTGCATTTCACAGGGTGTTACTGTCATTACTGTGCCGTAATTGAGGGGCTATTATAGGTCTTCTATTACCAAGTTCATGAGTGATTTTATGACTTCAAATCATATTAAATGCAATACAAGGTAGTAAAAGTGTTGCTCAAGGAACTATGTTATCGTTATGATACCATTCTCTGYGTTAGTATCGTTTTAAAGCATCGAACAATGATATTCTGTGTTAAACAATGAACACAGTGCAGAGTGGCTGCMGCGTAAAGCACGAGCAGCCTGTGTGCTTTTCTTCAGGGATGTCCCTCTCCCTGTCAGCACCACGGAGGTGGCTTTGGCTTAGCTGGTGTGTAGCCTCCCTCCAGTGGCTGCGGAGAGAAAATGCCGTTTATTCTTCCCTTCCCTATGCCCAGCACCTTGGGCACCCAGCGAGTAAGCGAATGCAGGGAGGAAGAAGGTGGCCCAGGAGAGATGAGCAAAACACATCCTGCAAGCAGGAGTATAACGGACTCGTGTGAGCAAACACACGTGCCCGGCCGTATTTAGCAGCAGGAGTTTGTTGGTTCTGCCTGAAGAGGGAGCAGAGCCCTTCTCTGTCGCTACACAGACACACAGGGCAGGTGGTTTTGCTGGAAGCACCTTGGAGCTGAGGATGTTCTTGTGTTTAGACGAGCAAGGGAGCTTGGAATAAAGCCTCWGAAGGTGCAGTTTCACAATTAAGGAATCCAAACCAAAATTTGGGAGCATCTCTAAAGTTTAGAGTAGCTTCTATTTAAGTGGTATTAGGACTCGCACATACCAAAACAAAAACGCGGATGGTGTGCGTTTATTTCTTGTTTCATATGCTTTGAAATGGGTCAAAATATATTTACCCTCCCACAGCTCAACTGGGAAAAATGTAAAGTTAGTGAGTATGTGGAGGGGCTTCCAGAGGTCCTGAAAGCTGCTTTCAGGAGGAGGCTTTCTGTTTGTGCTCTTTTCTTTCAAGAATGGCCGTGCAGCTCCGACGTGACTGTCTGTGCTTGCTCAGCCCAAGGGCCAATAACCCCTTGGCCAGGCCCACATTGCACTGTAGGGTCTGTCTCAGTGAATTATTTTAATTAGTTAATGATGGTGCGTGAGGTAGGACCTAAGATCRTGTACATAGCATTTGGGCAGGCGTGACCTTTTATTTCTATTTACTGTTATTTGAGAGGCAGAATTTAATAGATCTACTTACTGGGAAATAAATTGTTGGTTTGTTCTGCTGCATTTCTAGTGGGATTGTTTTGGGCCTCTTCTGCATCCCAGCATGAATAAAGGATGGGGAAAGACCACCAGTCGATGAGGTTCTTTGGCAAGTTTACTCACTGCAGTTTAAATATGTTGGAAAACTCATTTTTTTACCTGCTGTTAATTTCTTTTTGCCTTCATCAAGACAATTATGTGCTTCATTCTGAGTATGAGTGGTYGATGACACCACATCATCCTGAAGGGATAATAACCAGCGATGATCCAGTTTTATAGTGTATAGTGCAGACATAATGACCTCTGAGGGAGACCACAGGCAGTTAGGAATGCTAAAACCTCTTGTAACCTTTATTTTCCTATCTTAATGCTAAAGCAAAGAGATCTGCGAGGCAAACGAAACCATCATGTGTCCTATGTGCGAACGCAACTGCACGCTCCAGAAGCTCAATGAAAGCTGCATGTACGCCAAGGTAACTGGAACTTGCTGCTCCCCACGTACTTGCTGTCTAAAAAGCCACTTTGAGTCTATAATGGCAACCCTTCTTTGCCCAGAGAAAGGTTCCTTTAAAACATGTTGCCTCTCAGAGTTTTCAACCCTTGGAATTCATATGTAGAGTAAGTGTGAAGTCTCGGAAATGTTAAGAGAAGATTCTCAGATTTGCCTGAATATCTCACCCATTTTCATCCTAAATACTTTTTTTTTTTAAATCAGTTTAATGTCTCCTGGGCAACAAAGATTTCCTTGGAAGGTTTTATTCTTTTTTTTCCCCTGTAATTGACTACTTGTTTTGCTTCCATATTTGGTGATTGATTTTTCTGCTCGTAAAGGTATTCTCTTATGTTACACAGGGTTATGATGTACTCAGGTTTTATAGTTGGAACATAACTTCTCCATTTTCTTCATGCACAACCAGAGAGCTGAAGAGTTAGGGAAGSTATTCATTTTGGAATCAATTTTTTTAATCCTTACCTGTTACTTGGAAATAAGTAACTATGTAATAGCATACAAGGGCACAAGCAGTGAGTTGGACCCTCCATGGACCTGATGGTCAAGGGACCTGCCTTGTTTATAGAAGACCTTGTGCATGTATTTTACTCCGTTAGAACTTTTTTCAAGGGCTTTATTTAATATCTGCCAGTCCATGTTTAGGAGAAGTTTGGATAGAATTAAGCAATAGAAAAAAAAATCCTATAGTGCAGATGTTTTCTCTGCCAAGTTTCTGTCAAAGCTGGAGGCAAAACAAAGATGCCTTTTTCCTTCGTGTTAGTGACCATTTGTTTCAYCCTCTCCCTTCCCCCCCTTTATTTTTTTTTTTCCTTCTCTTGTCCCTTTAAAACCTCCCCTTGAAGTGAAGCTTGTATTGTAGGGGAAGGAATGTAATATCAGGCTTGTAACCAAATAATAGAAAACCCAGGTTATCCTTTCTGTGCACATGCAGTGAACTCTTTAGTCAGTGCTCAGCCCCAGGGAGTCCCACTGCTGTCGTGCCCTGCCCTCGAGCGCAGGGTTGTTGCAGAGCTTTGGCTATCCCATGTAGTGGTGGTGAGGATGATGATGATGATATCAGCCAGGCATGTGGATTGATGAGAGCTGAGGCTTACAGTACATGCCACTCCTGCCTCGAAGCCTCTGCTCAAGGCAGGTCTGTTTAAGCTTCTCAGGTTTCTGTTCTGGGTGTGGTGTTGCCTAATTAGAGCCCAAACTCCGTGTCTAAATAGTGCTAGATCTGGAGCCAGGTACATATAGCTCCAACCCAGCAGGTTTAATGCTGCTAAAGGTAGGATTTTGTTCCTTTGTTTTGGTTCTGTATTTCCTTGGAAAGATGTACTGTTTACTGAGCAGTTTATCCCAAATCACTTATTCAGATACATGTACATCCAAAATGGAAATATAAATATTTGTCAGATATTTATTCACAAGTATTTTATTGAGTGTATTTGTCAGGTATTTATTTGCTGCCTTTATTCATGAGTCCCATTTTTGGTGAGGTCAAAGTTGGTCTCATATCTGTTACACTGGTGGGTTTCGTCCTTGATGAAAGGAATAGAAGAGGGAAAGGACATACTTGTGCATCCAGTGGTCGCAGTATGTGATCCATGCAGAGAACACCTTGCACATGTTGATCCTAAATTCCAAGTGGTAAATGCTCATTTTCTTTGGTACCATAAAGGATCAAGCCAGACTTGTGTGCAGAATGTTGGAATCATTTAACTTGAGAAGGAATAAAGCAGAGAGGCAAGCAACTCTGTTTCGATCAACTTAGGTGGGTAAATACCCTTGGCAGCCTATTAACCTGCTAGGCAGCAGCAATAAGGACAGCCTGGTTGGAAGGAAGGAAAATCACTCGAGCACTGTGGCAGGGAAGAGGAGATTGTGGGACTGCAGATCCTAACCTGAGAACCTGTGTGCTCCCAGGGGCACGAAGAAGGCTTTCTGTTCATGGCAAGAGCTTCACAGTTAGCCCCCAAAACCACATCATGACTCAGTGCTAATAAATGCAAAGTTTCTTTTTTTTCAAGGCTATGACACATGGTTCTTATTTCAAAGGGTAGAAAATCACTGTAAACTGCCTGCGGAGTTTAACATAATACATGTCAAAAACATCTGTGTCACTTGTCCTTTTCTTTTCCTGTCTCTCCAGATCCTCATTCTGACATGTGCTTCTCAATAAGTTTTTCAGTTATTAATGCGTGGCAACAACTTAAACCACTCTTAATTCTAAGAAATTTAAAGAAATCAMTGTTAATTGCCAACTTTCAATATATGGAAACTACACTGATATTAATGTCAGCTTTTCAAATGCCCTTTCATACCCTGGCTTGCTTATATAGCCTCTAGGTTTTTGTAATATAAATAGTGATGTTTTCCGAAGAGGTGGGACATCACATGGCCAGCTCAGATGGTTGAAGTGATCTGAAGAAAATCAGATGAGATTTAAGGTTCTAAAAACCTTAAAATAGAAAACTATGAGTTTAGGTTTGGACCAGTGCATGAATGGGACTGTGCAGGAATTTCTAATCTGTCTGGACATGACCAGAGCGGCTCGCAGTATTTGTGGAGCAGGCAGACAGTTCTAAAACCTATATCAGAAATTSCTGTGAAAGACAGACCTGGATAAATATTTTGGTAAAAGAAACATGGGAGTAGGGCCTCGTATTATTACCTTAGAATTTCTGCTCTCTGTTATGTACTCTGTGGTTCTTTGGCGTTAAAGATACAGCAGCAATATTATTTGTTCATAATGTGTTTATTTTCTGTTTAGGTTACACATTTGTTTGATAATGGAGGGACTGTCTTCTTTGCTATTTTCATGGCAATTTGGGGTAAGTTGGTTTTAATTCTGTGGGGTTTTTTTTCTCTCTTTCCTCCCCTCCCCTTCCCTCCCTTTCTTTTTGTTTTTTTTTTTTTTTTGGTTCACCTATGCCTTTTATATTATTACTAAGGTTAAGGAGATTATATTTTTAAGTAAAATTAAAAATGTTATGATTTCATCATGTATGTACTTTAATTTCTATGCTAGTACTAGCTTAAAATATTTTTTATTCATAATGTAATGATTTTATGTCTTTAAACCTAAATTTTATATCATGCAGGTAGAGGTCATTTTAGAGGCAAACCCATAGGATAATTAATGGTCTRGAGTTAATAAAAATGACAGGATATAGAGAATTGCAGTGGCATAAATGAGAATACTTTGGTGGGAGCTAGAGGGAGGGGAATGATTTGATGCTAGAAGTTTATAGTGTTTTAACTATTTGTATTCAAATTTTTCACTCACGTGATGCCACGGGGCCCCAGACCAACCAGGGGATTAGCCCAGAGACCAGTGTTGAGCAAGAATTACTGGTAACAGCCCTTCCTTTCCCAGAAGGTCAATGTGCTACTGCCTCAGTCAGATAGTTGTGGTTTCAGCATGAAACGGCTGATAAAATTAGCCCTAACTGAAGCTAGTAACATTTTGCTCCTGGAAAACAGGGAAGACTGATATGAAACAGAGGTGATAATTAATTTTGCTAGTATGAAATTGTCACACACACACACACACAGAAGTGCATGGTTTTAAGTCATTRGAAGTTAATAAAAATATAACTGAAAGTCACACTTTAATTGGTTGCCTAAGTGATATTTGTGCATTAGCTCCTAATCCTGCTGTTATAGCCTTGAAATTGCTGTAAATTAGTCTCATAGAGTCTTAAAATACATTTTGCTATTAGTTTAAGTGGTAACTGATGTAGACAGAGCTGGTGGCATCTCAGTATCCCTTTGTCTCTATTGCCTTATAGCCCCATGCTCAGCCACACAGGGCTGTAAATCTGTCATTTACATTTAGGCAGTTGTGTTATTGGCAAGCAGATGAACTGTGATGCCACTTCTGTTATATCACCACAACATTCACTTGTCAACTGAATAAAACCAAAGCAAGCTTCTTAGGATGCCTGTGTACCTGGCAGAGAGAMTTGCTTTCCTTCCATATGGAGATAAGTATTTCTTCCACCTAATCTGTGCCAAAATCACTTGCAACCTCTCTGCAGATCTAGGCTGCTGTGCAGATAGCAGATGAGTTTGACAGAAAATTAGAAGCTTCAGCCTTCTGATTTCTCATTCAATAATGATTATAAGTCTGTATCATTAGAGAGCCACAAGTCACATTGCTCAGTAGTTTCATCTTCCCCAAGAAATTTCAACCAGTGAGTAGTCCAAATAAAATGAGCTCTGCGCATCTGTTCCCTCAAAAGGTGTGAATGTGGTAGTGTCCCGAGTCCTCAATAAACAGTATTTGGTGGAGCAGGGTCTCATCAAGGTAGTTAACTCCGGTGTTTTCTTCCATCCCGCTGTTAAACTGTTACTGTCTAGTTTTTAACCACGTTAGTAGTATTGACCAATACGGARTGAAGTTCCACGAGAGAATTTCGCTGGTATTTGCTGCTGTTAGGAAAGCACGTGCAATGTGCTGAGGGGAAGACTGCAGGGCGAGTGTTTTGCTCCAGAGGAGAGCGCTGCTCTGCTGCGGGCTCTGCCTCTCCCGCGGCAAACGTCCTCTGTGCGGTAGCGGCTGGAAGGGAGCAGCGGTGACGAGGTCACTTGGGAAAAYGGGAGCTTGTCGGTAAGGACTGAGCCCGGAGCGAAGCTCGTGTCATTCTGAGGGCTGCGGTGCCGTCGTGTCACCCACGGCCACGTCCCCTGCCGCCGGGCGCCCTGCGTCGCTCCCCGCGGCCCGGGCGGGCGCGCTGGCTTCGGCGYGGCCCAGCGGGAGAGCTGCAAAGGGGCTGCAGTTATCGTGCCCCCAGCGTGTGGGAGCACTGCTCCCCCCGTTACCGCCTGGAGCTGAAAACAGCCGCCTCRCACGGTTTTCAGCTGCAGCTGCCAGCTAAGGCTGAAATAAATCTACATGCCGTATAAGCAACTTAAACCTGCCCGAAAGGAAACGTCTAAACGATTATAYGCAGACCCACAAAAGCAGCGGGTGAGCTGGTCTTACACAACATTGCTTCTCTATATACTAATTTGCCAAATTTCTGGATTCCAAGCGTCCGCCTTTCAGTTCCGCAAAAAACTGCGGAGTCTTTTACCTCTTTAGTGTGGTGGAAGATTGTGGCACTTTGATGCTTAAATATATTAAGTGTAAAARTACTTAAATGCGTATCATGTTGGCTACAAAAAGGAGTGATAGTGTTTTTTATAACAAGTAATTGGTTTTKGCTGTAGGCAATAGTGTAAAACAGCTTCATTAATAGGTATGATAAGAGTTCTACTAGAATTATAAATAGAATTAATAATCTTATTAAACCAATAATTGTTTTCCCATACTACTGTTTATGCGATAGGAAATGCCAAATTTGCATTCACTCCTTTCTAGATGCTCTTTTTTCAGCCTTTTGAGGTTGAAATGAAGATCTATTGACCCTTAAAGTTGCTACCGAATCTGCCTTTCCAGCAGCTTTCAGCTGCTGCAGCTAAGCTACCGAGGACATACTGCCTGGTGTATTTTTGTTTAATTTTTACATTAAAAAAAAGTTTGAATTGTCTCTAATTGCTTAGACATATTAGAAAAAAATCCACAAGTGTACAATGAATAGACCAAGTAATGTGTCTAAGCTTATATGCATTTRTGGAGAAGACCAAAGAGATCCTTTTTTTTTGCCTCCTAATATATATTTGCTCCTGAAAACAGATGCAGTTTGATTTCTCATCCTATAGCTGAAGCTTGATGAGTAAAGAGTCTGGTGCTCTTGGTCAGTCGAATTTTGGGAGAGCTTTTGACCTGTAGTTTTGAACACTCCAGTAGGAGTATATAGGAGTATATAGGATAAATTAAAATTTAAATAATTGACCCTCCCAGGTTTAAAAAGAAAAAATAGTTCAAGTGGAGTTGATGATAATTCAGTAGGACCAAAGTACTTAAAACAGCACTGACCAGAAATAAAAGGCAGCCTTATGCATGAGGCTGTTGCTGTTGCTTACCTGGCTCACTTCTTGTATCCTCACGAAGTCGTCTGTGGGAAAAAGGTTCAGAGTTTTTCTTCCCCCAGATAAAATATCCAACCAGGCCAAATAATACACATCCCRAAACGGTTCCTAAAATGATGCCAAATATTACTCCTCCCTTGTTGCTTTTCTCTAGGAGAGAAAGAATAAGAAGAGCCAGTTGAATCAGAATGATAAATCTGTAAGATCAGATATTCCACTCTTGCTTTCTRCCATCCATGGATCTTTGTGGACTTCCGCTCTGAGACACTTTGCAGAGACTGTAACTAAAGCAGCCTCTCTGCACTACTTATGTGCCTTTATAGCAGCAAATAAAAGGCCGTGGTTCAAAGAAAGCTCCCTGCCTARTGATGGAAGCGAGCCTTATCATCTAACCATTTCTTTTTAAAGCAACAATCACTGTTTGAATGCAATTCTGTTGAAGCCATGAGTTAATACAGCAGCTTCTGAATTTCAAATGTTTACATTATAAAGTGCCATTTTTGAGTATCCATCCAGAAGTCTAGCAGGGCTTTCTGCATTTGCTCAGTTAACAAAATAATCCCATTCCGCCAGGATTACCCTCCGATTCCTTAAAACTTCTTCAAGGTATTCTGGTTTTCTTGGAATTGACCTTGCTTCCCCCCCACCAAGCACTTCCTTTTCAGTCATGTTATCTAAAAATCATGCACACTATATTTTGTAAAACTACCATAGGAAACCTGAAAACCTGATGCCCCTTCAGTTCTTAGTACTGCATACGATGGATGAGCTGCTTAATGCTGTCTAAAAGCTTGAAAGCTGAAAAGTTAAGGCATGTGCTTGTGTTCCCAAACCTTCCATTTCTTTTCCCCAAGACATAATTCAGAGCAGCAGTAGAGGGAAGTGCTGTGGTGGTTTTATCCCCTGTTATTATCTCTGGCATAATCATCTTGCTAATAACTAAATGCAAAACGAGCAGCTCCTYTGCGAGTGTTTACAAGAAGTTGCCTTTGGCCACAAAGCTGCCCAGCCTAACGCTAGRCATTCTCCATTTGACTTCTCTACCCCTGCTTGGCAGGTCTATGCCAGTATCTACTGTGAGTTTCCTGAGCTTTTGTGAAAAATTAGAAAAATAACTAATTTGAAATGCTTTTTATGCTGTGCTGCGATCGGTAACACTCCATGCCAGTGAACTCTGGAGATGTGGAGACTTGATGCTGCAGGATGGTGTAGGACRGTGCATTCCCACTGACATAATAGAGGTGCAAAAGGGCCAGCTGATTTATAGGTGCAATGAGAGAAATGCTCTTAAAGGCTCCCTCTGCATTTTAGGTTTGGTTTCAGGGGAATTTTAGCCTCAGTGCCTGCTAGGTCCCTATTAATTCTCACACATCTTGCAAAGCCTCCTGTTCACTGGCAAAGAGGCTGGCATTCAACATGACAGTGGGCTCTGCCCCATGGCACCGTAGCTGGGCCCTGACCTCCGCGTGCGTCCYGGGAGCCGGATGGAGCCGCGGAGGTGCCGGCGGAATCCCCGCTGGAGAGGGTTGTGCCGTGGTGGCCGCCCGGCACATCCGTGGCTGTGGCCGTGGCCGCTCCACGYGCCGGGGAGGAGGACGTGGGGGTCCCGTTGCTGCTGCTGCTGCTGGTCGCAGAGCTGGGCACCACATCGTGGCGAGCCGCGGAGCTGGAGGAAAATTCCCGCTGCGTGGGGCCGCTGGTCCCCGCTCCGAGYGCCGCGTTCCCACCCGCCGCCGTCCCGGGGCTTGCGGCGCCCGCCGGCGTCGCCGCGGGCTCCTCGGCGCCCGGCCCCGAGCCGGTTCCCTCCTCTCTGCCGCTTGCTGCCGTGTCGTTTGTTTTCTGYGCGGCATTCGCC